TGTCACCCAGACTTGATCATACCTAGAGACTCACCGGATTGCTGATTTCCTAATGGAACTCAACACACATCATTACAACCCTTTGAAAGGAGTAAATGGCTCTTAGTTTCTCTCCCATAAAGTTCTGATGGGCTCTATTAGCCTTCCTGGAACTGAGTCTTCCACAGCAATGGAAAAACCACACCCACCTGCTTAATTCACCTCCTCTGCTAGGCATCCTGGGACCTTGGCCAGTCACTTAAACATTCTGAGTGTTGGGTTTCCTATCCATCAAAAGATAGCAGACATCCTCTCTTGGCTAGATTGTCACAAGAGAGCTAACAAGAAAGGGCTCAGCCCAGTGCTGGCTACTTGAGCATAGATAACTTCTCCGTGGTCTAACTGTTCAGCATTCCCCATATGTGTGTGTGTGTGTGTGTGTGTGTGTGTGTGTGTGTGTGTGTGTGTGTGTGCTGTATTTGTGTGATGCATGTGGGTAAATGTGTGGGTGTGAACACTCATGGCCCTTGCAGAGACCATAGGAAAACATCAGGGACCTTCTATCACTCTCTGCCTCATGACCTCAAGACAGGGTCTCTCACTAAACTGGTGTTAGCTGTTTCAGCTTGACTGGGAAACCAAAGCGCTCTTGAAGAGTCCTGTCTCTGCCCTCAATGCTAGAGTTACAGGCATGCATAGCCACACTCGACCTTTTATGTGGGCACTGAGGATTTGAACTCAGGGCCCATGCTTGTACAGTGAGCACTCTTGACCATAAGCCATTTCCTTATCTCCTTTCCCCACATCGTGAGAGACCCTGAGCTTAGGACTCTTCTGTGCTTACCATTCTATCTCCAAGCCCTGCGGGCAGTTCTCGGTCTATAAAAACTTGCTAGATTCGTGGAATAATTGAGTGACTGACCTCTTTGGTCACCACACACGTTTTGGAGAAAGGCTCCACTATAGTGCTTCAGGCTGGCAAAGGCTCCAGCAGCTGCTGTATGATGCTTTCTGACCTCTCAGTTCACTGTGTCTTTCTGTTATTGCTATCAGTTCTCATCAGTGTTTTCTAATCAGGGCTGGACAGAAGGCCCCTGAGGTATACAACCCTGGACCTGTGTTTTATAATAGTTGTTCTTTCACATGATCTCCACTTCCTGCCTTTGTGGGGGAAGGGAAATAATGACCCATATCAACTTAGTATTGGTTAACCTCTGAAAGGAAGATTTACCCTGCTCCTCAAGTTGAGCATAGCTGACATTAAAATGGACCTTTACAATCTTCCTTTTTCTTTTTCTCTGCTGCTGGGGATTGAACCCAGAACCTCGGCTTGTAGACTCCATCTCTTCCCCCATTTCTTTTCATTTTTGAGACAGGGTCTTGCTAGGTTACTTAGGCTGAACTCTGACTCACAATGCACCCCAAATCCTGGGATTACAGTCATGCACCCCTTACCCAGCTAATTCTCCAGTTTTGATGCCCTAAATAAAATTTCCTGAGCACTCAGTTAACGCACCTTCCCTCCCTTATTTCCATTAGGATATTAAAGATGATATCAAGCAAAGTCTTGCACTGGCTTGGCTAATCTCATTTTTTCCCCATTATATTTACAATAACCTGATTCCTGGTTCCCATACTTTTTCTGAATATTCCACTGACCATAGCTTTACTCAGAGAGAGTAAACCTCAGAAGTGCATTGTGGAGCTCCCAAACCTGAGTGCAAGCAGGGCCGCAGTTGGAGCAGGAATGAAAAACAACTGCACCATAGTAACCAGTCATCATTCTGTCTGTCTGCTGCCCAAGAGGGATCTGAAAATAGTCTAAATTCAACTTTAAAATCCACTGCTCTGTGAAGGGCTTGTAACACTTGGCAGCCCTGGAAGGCTGCCTGAGAAACAGGACTGCAATTTAGACTACTGGTGTCCAGCTGTAAGCCTCCTCAGAGGGGAACAAGCCACCCATTCATAGGGCTGTTGTGAAATTTCCTTCCCAGCAGCCCTTGCAGCCAAGGAGGCATATACCTGGAGGAATGGCACTTGGGAATTTTGCTCCTTCCCAATGTGTTACTGCCACTCCGTTATTTGATTGTAAATTGCCTAGTCCCTTTCTCCTGCTTAACGCTCTTTTGCTCCAACCTCTCAGCCCCACAGCTTCTCCATCTTTCAGTTTTTCCTCCTTTAGTCCTAAGGTTGGACGACTGGGCATGAGCCAGAGCTCATTGTCTGGAATTTTTAAAAACAATTGGTAGAGGAGTCGTGCATAAATTGCTAGACAAACCAGCCCACTTTGGAGAAAGGAAAGAAGTGCCATTAATAATTAGAGTAGGGAGGAGTGACTGGGATGGAGTGGGGTCTTTCTGGGCAGGCAATACGCCGTGTCCGCAGGGTGGGGCAGGCTACACCATACGGGGCTAAAAATGCATCAGAGAAGGCTCAGCTTGTAGTAGTGCCGGCCTCAGCATCACTCTGTAGCTACACTTGATCATGGTGTTAGATTTTGTTCTCCACCTTGACCAGAGTACAGTCAATGGAGATTAAAATGGGGTTAGTGATGGGCTGTGTCTCCTGTTGCTTATTCTTTAGTCTGTGATAATTCTTTTTGTTCTGTTTCTGTTACTAAAACATGGCACGTTCAGCAGTCAGGTGTCTCAGCCCATTAGGTCACTAGTTTGAACTGGGAAGTTAGATTATAAGATTCCAGTCTCATAAATACTATTTCCTACTTGATTCTCATTTTATAATATTTCATTTAGCACATTGCTGCTTTTAAACAAGGCATCCTCAAGGACTCACCACGTAAATGGCATTGCCATCCTTCACAGCTCCCTTAGGTACCATACATTTTGTACTTTTCCTTCAAACTAGATATCCAGTTAATACAGCTTACCAAGAAACATAATTTTTCAAAATTCAAAAGGTAATTCTTGTACAACAATGTGTGTGAGAAACCTTAAGAAATCAATTTAAAGGAGAATGCGTTTACATGTGTAAGTGCTTGGGCCCCACCACACTGGGAGGCGTGATGAATTAGTCAGAGCCCGAGTCTGTACAGAGTGGCTGGAATATAATAGCTCTCACATGCAGCCCGGTGCAGCTGGGCTTCCCGGTGACTCAAGTCCCTTCAGAGGTGTAGACATTGGTATTGTGATTTTTCAAAAGGTGAACAACTCTTGGTAAAGCTCCAAGTCAAACAAAGCACACTTTTACACGGACTTGAGACAGTTGCATTCTGGGAAAACTCTCGGTGAACATGCGATGCCGTACAAAAGTTGCTTTGCTGTGTTATGAAATACAGAGTCAGAACCCATGACTGCATAACAAAAGGGCATTTTTACCTAGATGAGTAGCTCGTGGCACAATCAGAGGTCGTACGAGACTTTGAATGGTTGTCCTCTTATTCACCAAACACTGACAACACCCTTTAATGATGATGACAAGGGTCTATGCATTTCAAACATCCCTGAGAATGGTGTCGCAACCCTTGCCCTAGCAGAAGACAGCATACTGAGACCACACTGCCGCTCTTGAGTGTCAGGAACACCCCTCATTACTGAACGCCCACAGCAGACATGCTCCCCTTCCCTGGGGCAAGGAGAGGCAGAGGAGGCAGAGAAAGCCTGGAAGCCAGTGGAACGCTGCCTGGGGCAGCCCTCTCGATGAGTCTGACGTCGATTTCTCAGCTTGTATGTTGTTTTTGTTCTTAATTAATTAATTAATTTGTTTGTTTGTTCGTTTTTCGAGACAGGGTTTCTCTGTGTAGTTTTGGTGCCTGTCCTGGATCTCACTCTGTAGACCAGGCTGGCCTCGAACTCACAGAGATCCGCCTGGCTCTGCCTCCTGAGTGCTGGGATTAAAGGCATGCGCCACCACCGCCCAGCTTGTGGTTTTTATTTTGTCGACTCCCACTACGTGCGAAAACGGTAGTCACTTCTGGCAGTTACAGAGACTCGGATTTCCTTCTAGGCCTCGGGTAGTGAGAAGTCTAAAATAGACGTGGAAACAGCGTGGAACTAAAATAGAACAAAGGTTCTTAGCTCAGTCTCTGTATTGTGCTTCAGTGGCGCCCTCAGCCTTTGGGAACCCTTGCGTGGGGTCCAGAGACGGGTAGCATGTCAGACACTCTCTAGTTCATGATGCTTCTGTGGCTCTTTTATGGTTTTTGATTTTATTTCAACCTGATGACTTTTTAAAAAAGTTCCCATTTTGGGAAGTAGAAAAGTGTGCCACTGTGCCCCCTCCCCCTTCAATATACTTGTTAATGAGACATTCAACAGTTTGCTACAAAGCAGCCTTGTGTTAAATAATTTTACTACATTCGGGCTAATGTAAGAATGATGGGAACTTTTCAGCTGAGCTGGGATGTTCAGGCGGTGAGCTGGAGCAGATACATTTTTTATCTTATAATATTTAAAAGTGATGGGGAGTTTATCAGGATGTAATTGTACTCTGAATTCAGAGCATAGAGATTTAATCAGATTCTTCTAGAACTCCAGGAAACAATCAAGGTCATAGATTATGGATGAGGTCGGCCTGATGCGTAAGTGGATTGATGGATTTTTCCAAAGTTGCCTTCTGAACCACCTTGTTTACTTAGAAGCTTCTTTCACTGATATTCTACCAGCAGAGATTAAGTTCTTGTGACTCTGTGGTAATCAGAGGTCTGTGTGGACGTCATCCTTACTACGCGATGTCTCTTGAGCCCTGGCTGAGTATAAGACATTGATCTAAAGGCCCAACGGTTGACAGAACAAGCTCACTGTCAGATGGTGATTCTGGGATGTGAGATAGATATATGCCAGGACAGGGAACGCCCAGGACCCTTCAGGAATACAGAATGGCCTGCCTCACTCCATAATAGCCGAGAAATCCCCTGGAGGAGGTAGCAGCCCTCCTGGGCTGCACAGATGTGTCTGTGTATAACAGTCAGCTGCCCTAAGTGAACAGAGGTGTTCTGATGAATGCGGACACTGCCAGGGGTGGGAGTGGGGGTGGGGCTGCCGCAGTAAGGGGTGCAGCCAAGACTGGGGTGGAAATCCTCCAGCAGCATCAGGCCTCAGTTGCCTCTCAGTTCTGCTGGCTCAGCTACTTGGTAAGCAGAGGGCCTTGCGGGGTGGCTTGTTAGCATGACTTGCATTTTGGTGAGCATTAAAAGCTCCCATTTCTGTGGACTATCGTTACTTGTTGAGAATCTGTGTTTGGAAAGCAGACTGCAGACTATCTGGGTTGGAGAATGAGGGGCAGGGAGGGTGGTTTCTAACCGGGAAACTATGTGCTGACTAGAACCACGTTGAAAACGGTGTGGTTTCCACAGGGTGCATTCTGGAATGAGCATATTTTGCCTTCACCCTGGAACAAGGCCTTTGCTGAAAAAGAAAACATACCTTGGCCATGAAAATGCAAATGGTCACTCTTCCTCTATTTGCAGCTCCGAGCAGCTTTGCCCACTGAGGGTTAACTAGTCCTGAGGCCATCTTGTCTCCCCAAACCACAGAGATCTTTTCCTGCCTCCCCCTTCCTTCACACAGATGTTTACGAAGAGAGAGCAGAAGTCACTGCCAATTCAGTAGGCTCCTTGCTCTTTTGTGCATTTTAAAGGCATTTGCTCTTTGGGAAGAAAATCATGAGAAACGAGGATCTTGCTGGCTTGGCTGGAGGCTGGTTCATTGTTTGCAGAGAGGGCTGGTTGCCATGGTTTTGGACGACAGACAGCTGCATTTTCTTAGAGCAATTTTTACTTGCAATTGGATCTTTTAAATAGCCAAGGTGGCTAGTTCCCAGCAACAAAAGGTCTTGTGAGTTATTTGCAAACACTCTAGTATGTTATCACTCAAAATCAACTGTACATGGTTTTTAGTTACTCGAGTCTCCCCAGATAGGCCCAGTTTGGCCCAAATTCTGCTCCATAGAGGGCAAGCCAATCTTGTTTCAGAAGGCTTACTGTCCTAATCCTTTTTTATTTTTTTAAAGTTGTTTATTTTTATTTTGTGGATGAGTGTTTTGCTCACACGAATGTCTGCGTACCATGTGAGTGCCTGGTGCCCATGGAGGTCAAAAGAAGGCTTCAGATCCCCTGGGACTGGAGTTACAGATGTTTCTGAGCTGCCATGGAGGTGCAGGGAGCAGGCCCAGACAGCTGAGATGGTCACAGCCTTAAGGAGGCCGCAGGACTGTTCCTTCTGTCTGTCCTTACAGGAAACATATGGCTTGTAGCAGAAAAACCTTTAAAACAGGAGTGTACTGTGTAGTCACTATAAAGTGAGGGTATTGCAATAACTCCTTTTGTGGGGTGCTGTGGTCTTCTCTACCTTCCTTGAATTCACGGCTGATGCTCTGCAGTGTACCCTAACTTATTTTCCATTATGTTGGCTTTACTAACCTTTGAGCTTTCTTTCCATTTGTTAGAACTGGTGGCCTGTACCCTTAAGGTCAATCCTACAGCCTGAACCAGACCATGCCCCTGCACAGCTCTCTCTGGGACAGAAAGTTAAGGAGCTGTCTGTAATAGCCTGGAGAGATGGCTCAGTAGTAGAGAGCAAGTATTGCTCTTCCAGAAGACCCAAATTTGGTTCCCAGCACCAAGGTCAGGTAGTTCACAACCAAATACCTGCAACTCCAGCTCTGGGGGATTTAACATCTTCTGGCCCGTGGGCACTGCACTTAGTGGCACACACACACACACACACACACACACACACACACACACACACACACATACACACAAGCTGTCTGTGCCTAACAACCGCCCTTGATTTATGGTTCTAACCATAACCTCCATGTTCTTTATCATGAACCCAATGTTGAACTAAATTGCATGATGTGGAATGTCCAACCACCCCTATAAGCAGTCAGATTTCTCCTTTGTTCCAGGAACTGATCCAAGCTGTGCTACAGGTCTGCTTGGGAGATTGCTCTGATGGCCACTCTTTGAAAAGCCTGCTCGACAGGCCCTCATCAGCCCTTCCTCTCATGGCAGCTACCTCTCTGTCATTCTCACTCCCCCGGCTTTAAGGGAGAGTCTGCCCTTCCCTCGAAGGCCCTATCATGCTTAGATGTTCATGTACCGCACCGTTTCTGTCCAATGCTCTCCCTCCCACCTGGAGGCCCAATCATGACCGTGAGGCCCATATGTTCCAATACACCTCCCTCCTGAAGGGCATTATGAATTATGTGTCAGACCTTCCGCCGTTACCTTATTTGATGCTACTCTTATCTGATTTCCTCTCTGCTCTTGCCTTCTCTACTAGGTTATTGGTTCTTTAGGTCAGAGGCCATTTGAGCTCTACTTTGTAATGTTTTTTTCTCCACAGCCAACTTTGAATGTGCCCCCAGATTCCATGAGTTGGAAACTTAGTCTCTCATGCTCCAGTGTTAAGAAGCAGGACCTATGGGAGATGGCCGGGCTATTGAACATCTGTCCTTGTCAGTGTGTCAACCCATTCAGGGAGGAATGCCTTTGTTAGAGGAGTGAGTGCTAACATAAGCTTGCCATGTCCCACTCACCACGTGATGCCTTCAGCCATGTCATAATGTGTTAAGAACCCCTCTGCAGGTCCCCACTCTGGACTTCTAAGCTCTGTGATCCAACGAACCTTTATTCTTTGTGAATTTCCTGGGATTGCTTTAACTTATTCTGTCCAGATGTAAACATGTGTCTATTCACTCCAGATGGGGCACCAGAAACAGACTAAAGACTCCACCCAAGTTCACCTTGGTGAATCCATGAATTTATTGAGCTAATTTGCAGAGTGTGGATGAGAGGTTATTTACGGTAGTGTGGATGACCCCCAAATAGCTGCATCACTGCAAAGTGGGTGACAAGATCAGGGAAATCTGTATCTTTCCTACTTTTAGCTAATCTTGTACTTCCTGTATACTGGAGTATGATCCCTTGCAGCTGAGGCAAAGAAGGAAGGAGTAATGGCTGGAATCATAAGTGAGGGTCCCATGATATCCCCCCCCCCCCACTACACAGTGTTAACAGCTCCATTATCATCACCATAGGTCTGTCTACTTCCATGCTGCTCTGCTTATTTTGTTGCCATGACCACTGATCCAAAGTGGTGATGGGGAGATCATGTTATGCTGGAGGAAAAAGCCATACTAATAGCACCCAGCTTCAGGTATTTTGTTCTAGCAACCGAAAATGGATGAAGGTACCTAAGATGGATTTCTGATGTCCACTCAAGAAGCCAATTAGGCCCAATGCAAGCTTTCTTTTAAATGGCATTTTTGTTGAGTAGACCTACAGCACATTTTTTTTCCCCATGTTCACTCCCCTAAGCATCATGGTTGCTGTGGGTACATGGTTCTTGATCATCTAAACACAAATTACTGTCAAATTATAAAATGCAGAACAAGATCCATTGGCTGGATGAGCTAACACTGGCTAATGCTGACAGAATAAAGCTTGGGAATTCAACAAAAGGATTATACTTTAATCTCTGGTGTAAGCATTGCAACCTCCCTTCCCCATTATCTGTCTTCTGGCTAGAGAAAGTCTTCTCTCCTAAGCAGCTCAAGCTGTCTAACTCTTAATGGAAAACACATTTGGCTCAGGAGCCACAATTTCCTTTCTTTGAAGACCAATTTGAAAATACGGATACTACTAAATTCATTTTGAGATTGGCAAGCACGGAGCAGCCCAGAGTCCATCATGTGGTAAGTCACGGCATCAGGAGCATAAAACAGCTAGACACATCATATTCACAGTCAAGAGCAGAGAGAAACAACACTAGCGTATCTATTCACTTGTTTATGCTCAGTTCATTTTCTTCACTCTTATAAAGTTCAGGATCCTCTGCCTAGAGAATGGTGCTGCCCACAGTGGGCTGGGTTTTCCTACATCAGTCAACTTAAGGCAACCCCTCACATATATGCCCACAGGCCACTGGTCTTCCTCTGTGGTCTATTGATAAGTGGAAAGAGAAGAGTGCAGATGGGGAAGGGGGTAGGTAGGGAAGGGAAGAAGTAGGAGAGTAAAGAGAAGAGGGTGAAACATTAAGAGATAAGCAGAGACAGTGAGTAAACTCATCCACAGGGGATTGATAGGTGAAAAGCAACATCCATAGCATGCACAGAAATGAGAGTTGAGTTTAGTTAAATAAATGCCTTGCTCTGACATCCCATGTCTTTTGTACTTAAGATGTTTAGTTAACCATGATTAAAATAGAACACTTGGGTCTGAATCACAGTACGACTTCTTCCTTAACAATGTGAATTAAGATAACTGCATCCTTATCAAGAGGATGCTAGTGGCTCTGTCCCCCCACCACCACCGTGAAATACTAGTTATTATCAAATTTAGATCCAAAGCATTTATGAATCCTGCTTCGTAAGCAGCTACCACACAGAACCAAAACAACGCTGACCCTTAAATTTAGGTTCCCTTCAGTATGTGAATTTCCCTATCATGAAGTGATAATACTTACTTTGAATCAAGTAAGTAAATGAAGATGGGATCATAGTTTGACAATGTTCCATGTGAATTGTTCTGTCGAAACACGCTTTCAGTCAATATACATTTTTAAATGCCTTCTCGTGTGAGGCACTGAGTAGCACTGGGGAAAACAGTGAGGAAAAGACCTTACCATTCTTTTGCAAAAAATGTTTTGAAAAACACTTTTTTCAAACAGGGATAAGCTGGGTGGTTACTGCAAACTCTTAGGTGGTTGGGGGAGCCAGACATGAAGGCCCTCCAGAGTAGTGTTCATGGAATTGAGTCAATACCTATGGGGATGGACAGGTAGCTAATTAGCTAGAAAGCCTCTTTCTTCAATCCTTTTGGATCTGTGGGAATATATAACCCCTGAGGTCTTCACACTGAAGTGGGAAGAAGATACTGGATAATTGAGACCCTCAGTCAAACAGCGGGTAGCCTAACATTGAGCACCAGGAACCCCGTGACCTCACCAGAACTTCCACTGTACTGTGTGTGCTCAGTTCCTACCATCTAAATACTTAATGCCTCTTCAGTAGCCTAGGGTGTGGTATGGGCATCTTATGTTCTGATGGTGAGCATGTTATATTCCATGCTGTGCTTGGGCTGATGAAGGTTAGCATGGTAGCCAAGAGAAAATAGGAGAAGCAGTG